CTTATCATGAATTTAGAAAGATCTTTATTTTTGTATGGTGGATAATGGAGCTTGGCAACAGGCACTACTTGAGAGATAAAGTACAAAGGGACTTCCCCTCCTTCAATTTTAATAAAAGAAACACTTTGCAATAAGATAAAGTGTGAAGTATTCTTCCCAGACCCATTATTTGTATTCATCAGCACAGGCAATTTTGATTGTTTTAGAATATGAGCCATTTTGGCAAATGGAAACTAAGTGCCTTTTAGCTTTAAATATTTAAATAAATGAATGGAACTCAGGAAGAAGGCCTATTTTCCAAATGGATAAAATCATTAAGAAAATGTTAAAGCTACTCAGACATAAAGTCCAATCTCCACAACACAAGCATTTTAATTTATGGCAGCTTTTGAGTCAAATCATTTTATTTTTTGTGAAAAATGTATAGGTACTTAAATACTTATCAGTGAAGAAATGACAGTTGGCATCTATGAACACTAAAGTAGAAATAATTGCCAGTCATATTTTGAGGCCCTAAATTTTTAAGGATCAGTTTAGTTTTCAGTCTAAACATACTTCAGATTTTAGCCAATAAGAATTTTATACTTATGTGTTATAATTTTTGAAGACCATTCTTCACAGCATTTAATCTATATTCATTGGTCTGCGCACTAGAAACTTCTTTCATTCCAGCTATACATGAGTCAGAAAATGTAGATAATTTAGGAGCTGGAATATTAAGTTCAAAAATAAATTTAAGGTTCAAAAAAAATGCCCCACACCTCACAAAATTATAGCTATTAGTGATCATTAGCCATACCCAGGTCTATCTCTTATACCATCCCCCTACTCTACTTCTGCCTAAGGTGTTTTAATTTGATCTGTGTTGTACATGCTGCTTGAAAGATGAAACCTTCTGGTGATAGTAATCAAGATAAAGAGAGGGAACAAACCTGAAGCTAGAATGGGCTCATACTGTCCCTGCACCTGTGTGAAAAGAAATGTAGTTCAAAGTACACTATTAATCCTTCATAGTCTCCTTTCCTTTAAAAACTGAATCTTATTCTCTTTCTGGAATTTCTTTGTAAGAAAAACACCCAGTGTACTTGTAGGTATTGTATTTAGATAAAGTGTTTTTTTAATCATAGTTCCACCCAGAGATCTAACTTGCCAAATTTAAGTAATCATACTGGGTTCATTTAAATAGAGCCTTCTTTTGATTCAAAAGGTGGCCATCTTTCAAAATATTGAAGTTACTTGCTACATACTGTATGTTATAAAATGAAAGTTTTATAACTTTATAACATGATTCCATTCATTTCAAATACAGGCCTTGCAATTCTAGAAAAGAACTCACAGTAAGAAGTATATTACATGAAAAGCATGAAAATAATGATTATCATTTTATCATTTGTCTTCACTCCTAAAGACCCTCTGAAACAACATGCAGGTCTGACTGACTTTTTACCTATTACCACACTATGAGAAAGGCTAACCTGAGATACACAGTCTGTTCTTTTCCTTATGTAAGCTCTTTCATTGCCATCAGAATCACTCAGAGTGACCCTCTCTCCCATCTGTTGATTTTTTTTTTTCCTTTGCTCAAACAGTACTTAGGTTTCAAAAAAACTGATCTCAAAATCATTAACCTAGAAAGAACCTGGCCTTCATCCACTCCATTTATGGGACGTTAAAGCAGTCTCAAGGGTTTGCTAAAATAAACTAAGGACTGCAAAGGAGAGGAACACACCATCTGGCCAAATCAGTGAGGCTGAGAACATGTAGTCTAGGTAATTACTTTAGGTGAATCTATTACAACACATGGAAATGATAGAAAGTAAGGATTTTCTTCTTTACCCAGAGAATCTTTTTTTCAGTCTGAATGATGGAATAATCAACAGGAAGACAAAAGAAATCAGGGGTAATGTAGAGAAATGGTGTGTGAGTCAGGAGACTAGCAATAAGACATCAGTAATTTACGATTCCAGTAGATCTCCACTGATCAACGAAGATGGAAATTCTACTGGTTTATGGAACAGATTTGTGGAATGGACTGTATGCTCTTTTCATATACTGAACCATTCAATACACTAAGGAATTAAGTAATGTAAAAGGAATTCAGTGTTGAAATCTATCTGTGTCCCGTTATATTTCATAGCAGGAATGCCTTACTTTCTTAGATTTCTTAAATTCAGAACGTCCCGAGACCTAGGTTTTATCAATTAAGAAATATTTCTTGAGGCAAAACAGCTTATAAATGGCTACATTATTTCCATCTTTCGGAAATAGGACATATCTCTATTTATGTTGTCTCCATTTTCCATATTCCAGCTACTAATCAGCTCCACTCCAATGGGGTTCTGCCCCTCTCATTCCATTATAACAATTGCTTCCTTTTCCCCAAATACAAATTCACAAAATTTTGCATCATGTTATTTAAACTACTCAAGATAATCCTCTAGGGTATCAAAAATCTGCCATCCCAAAATGTCCTTTGGGCAAGAGGCTTATTTTCTGGGGTGGGCTGTGGAGCTAAGTGGAGGTTGCTTTTGACATTTACATGTAAACTTTGCTCTGTAAGGACTTCTTCCAAGAGACCTATTCTCTTTTGCAAAAGAAAAGTGAGTTATTAAATTTGGATACCTTTGTCTAATGATAAATTCCCTTTCTTCTCCTAACTTTTTCCTGTGTTAGCTATTTAAAATGGCATCTAAAATCAAGTGGATGAGTTAATCATACCGGGTTTCTCCCATGTATAAAAGAGGTATATATATATTTAAAAACAAATTTACAAGTGTAGAGATCAATTTGGCTTTCTTAAACAATTCATGCATTGCTCAAAAATACAGTAGTGTTAGGGGTAGTGGAGAAAGGGAGTAGGAAATGGATGAATGTGGTTGAAAAAAGATCTGTTTTAGGTTGGGTGAAGTGAACACAGGGGTTCTGTAATAGTTTCTTTTACTTCCATGCACATTTTAATTCATAACAAAAGTGTTTTTTAAAAACCCATATGTTAATGTTGATTGACCTACTAATAGTCCTGCCTTTCCTTTGTACATAGGAGTAACAAATACTATACCTTGACAACAAAGTATAATCAGTGTAGAGGAACCTCAAACTTAACGTGTATGAAATGCAACTCAAAATCCACAAGTCCCACTAAAGTAACAGGAACAGTAAAATCTGTTTTCTACTAGTCTTCCTAAATCAGTAATTCTTGCAGCATATCCCAACTGTTCAACCCAGAAACTTTGGTATAAACACTGAATTCTTTTCTCTTCCATGTCTCTTTTTTTCAGTACATTTACACCCCCTGTTTAGTTCTACTTTCAACAATTATTAAAATGAATCCATATTGGGGCCTCCCTGGTGGCGCAAGGGGTTAAGATGCAACCTATGAATCTCACTGCAGCAACTGCAGCATGAGTTCAATCTCCGGCCAGGGAGCCACCTACACGGCACAGCAGACCTCTCCTGACACGCCTGCTGCTCCCCTCACCAGTGTATTTCAGTCTACATATTCTGTTCCCCACTCTGTCTCTGGTGAATCCTCTCACCCACCACAACTCTGGCCTGTACCCCAGTTCTTCTATGTATAAAAAATGTCTTTAAAAAAATGAATCCATATCAATCTCCTACATCCCTTACATAATCTAGGCTACCATCTCTCAAATACAGACACTGCCACAGCCAACTACATCATCTTTGTATTTTATGCTTGCCTTAAATATGCTACTTTTCTACAGAACAGATATATTTTTAAAACATGAACTGGATTATGGTTAAAATCTTTTAGTGACCTCCATTACATTTAAATAAAAATCTAAAGTTACCCTATCCTCGAAGGTCATACTTACCTTTCAATGCCATGTTAAACAGAGTGACTGGTAGCTTAAATAACTCATCATGTGACCCTGAACACTCCAAGTTCTTGTGTGTGTGTGTGTGGGGGTGTGTTATTTCTTACCCATATTGTTTCCAACACTAATAATGTTATTCTTAATCCTTATCCATACCAAGCTTTTGAATTTACAAGACTCTAAGACGTTTTATTCTTTACTCCTTATTAGTCAGTGGGGAATATTTTACATTTCCTTCATTGTATTTGTGCCAATTTATAATTCTGTATTTATTTCCATATATATATTTTTAAGTTCAAAATGTTCGTTTTTTTTTTCTTTGCTTTAAATTGAGTTTCTTTTTCATTGCAATATTATTGCAATAATTGGTTAAAACCAATTAGTATTGGTTTTAACACTGTACATGATTTAGAGGTGTGAGTTCACAACTCTTCAAATACCATACCCCCCACACCATCAGGGCACCCATAATCCTCCACCATAGTCCATTGTGCTACCTCCCTCCTTTGCTGCATACCCACTCTGGTAGCCTCAATTCTGTAGTAAGATTTGTAGGGTTTATCTCTTTCTTTCCTTTGTTTCTTCATATTACATATGAGTGATCACCTGGTATTTGTCATTCTCCTTTTGATTTATATCACTTAGCATAATGCTATCCAGTTAATTCATTTGTCACAAATGGTGACAAATGAATATATATATATATAGTGACAAATGAATATATATATATGGTGACAAATGAATATATATGTAAAACTTATGAACTCTATATATATGGGTCATATTCTACTTGATTTATGTGTGTATGCAACATATACAAAATCTATTATATATACAATAGCTTAGCTATTATAAATACTGCTACAATGAATATAAGAGTGCATATATCCCTTCAAATTAGTATTTGCATATTTTTTGGATAGATACCTAGGAGTGAGGTTGCTAGATCACACGGCAGATTTATTTATATAATATTTTGAAAAACCTCCATGCTATTTTCCACAGGAGCTGGCCTAGTCTCTATTCCTACCATCAGTGTATGCAGGTTCTTTTTTCTCCAGATTTAAACATCATAACACATGGCTATATAGATACATAAATCCAGTGTATCTCCATGAAATAGGGAAACTTTCTCTGTTATGAAGATTCTTTGTCTCCCACCTTTTTTTGTGTCTTCTGGAGTTCTTGGATGCAGTCTGATAGTTGGTCGGAGAAAAGGAAAGGGAGGCAGGACTGTAGATTCTATTGTGAACTAAGACAAAACAGAAGGCAAACCACTCCATGTTTTGCACTCAGTGTGGTACAATTTCAGGACAAGAACAAAACAAAACAAAACAAAACAAAACACCCTCCCCATTCTGACAAGATTCATTTCCTGGAACCCTCCCATGTATTCCTGGTCTTATTTGTGCCAGATATGAAGTGAATTAGATGGGTAAAAACTAAACTTAATGTGGGCTATATATTTAAATTTACTCTTCATTAGTTTGAGTTTGTATAAGTAAACACTGTACCTTGTCTCACTACTGTATCAAGACAGTGAAAAAGACTGCAGGTAAATCCATTTCTCAGCAAATAACTGCAGAGTAGGTGAATAAAGAAGTGATTGAGAATGGGTAGATTCCACTTTAAAATGTAACATGTCATATCAGAGACAACTAGTAAACTCTGTAATAATTCAACAAAATAAATGTAGTTGATACAAAATGCGTTTTCCAACTTTTTGATGTATGTCATCAAACTGATAAACTTTTTATACAAATCTAATTTTTAGTCTAATTTCAGTATATATTTAAAATATTTGGTTCATTGTTGCTTCTATTAAAAAAACATGGGTTAGTTTCTCTAATTACATTTATTTATGAAAAAAATGTTTTCTCTCTTTTCTGGTCCATTTGTGTGATCATTTTTTGCTATCTTCTTTTATCTAAATTCCCATTATATACACCTCTAGGTCTTCCAGTCACACATTTTACTTTTAAATATTGTTATATAGTTGAGTTTCCTATTAGATTGGGAAATTAAGTTTAAATACATTGTGATACATTAAATTTTAGAGTAAATATTCTATAGTCATTAATTTTGTTAACTCATTGCCACGTTATGACGTAGAAAGATGTTCATTAACTAGGTTAAATGACAAAAGCAAAAGGAAGAGTACCATATAGAGTATGATAACATTACTATAAATATATAAAGTATGATATACCATATAGAGTATAACATATAGAGCATACCATAGAGCATGACATTACTATAAATATATCCTTATAGAAAAATAAATGACTATAAAAATATATACCATACATAATTCAAAAATTTTCATTATTTTATTACTCTTATCAACAAAGCAATAATAAACTTTCTTCTAATAATGAAGTGCAAAAATTATCTTAAAATGCATTGCTGGTGTTACAACTAATTTCACTATACTATAAAAAACAGAACCCCATAATCGATCTTATCAAATCAAAAACATACATACATGACATAAGGCAGGTAAAATGAGACTCTGAAAACAACTATCCTGGATAAAATCTGCTCTACATCCACTGGACTATACTTATTTGGCCACACAAAATGCAGATAAGAATATCAAGAGAGGGGCCTCCCCGGTGGCGCAGCAGTTAAGCGCTGGGCTGCGAAGCTGCCCGCAGCCTCTGCAGCACCAGTTCAATCTCCAGCCGCCAGCGAGGGTCCCACATGGCATGACGGACCTCTCCTGCCATGCCCGCTGCTCCCCTCAGCAGTGTACTTCTGTCAGTCTGCCTGTTCTGTTCCCCGCTCTGGTGATTCTCTCACCCTCCCGCGCTTCTGACTGTACCTAGTGCTTGTATAAATAAATCAATAAATCAAAAAAAAAATCAAAAGAAAAAGGAAAAAGAATGTATTTGGAAAGATGTTAGTATATGCTACTCGACGGACATTTCTAGAAGTAAATAATGAGATGGCTTCTCTTAGATTAAGTAGATTGAAAAATTGTTGACTTTCAAGAAGATGCAAAACTAATCTTACAAAGCTTCAAATTCTCTACTGGAGGAAATGTTTTCACACAAAGACAACTGATCAAAACCCCCACATTTTCTATAGCGAAGATGTCTGGAGAACAAGGAAACTAGGTTTCCTGCCAGGATTTCTTGGACAGAAAAGATACCACTTAAAATATTTGTGAAAGTCTTCTTATCCAATCAATTGGAAGAAATTACAAAAAAAGTCATAGAACAGGAATTCTTTCAAAATCAATGTTTACTTGACAGAATGAGGGTTCGCAACTTGCAACAAATGTTCAAATATTCCAAGGATAACAGAGACTGATTTATTTTTATTTATTTATTTATTTTTGCTCTGGTTACTACTACCACTTTCCCAAAATTACCTACCAGCTGCCATCTGGTACAACCACTGAGTTTAAACAATTTCTCATACGCAAGCTCCTGAGAATCATGAATCAGTATTTTGTTAACATTCCTGTGCCTGATCCATAGAAAGAATAAGACACAGCAGCCTGGAAAAATGATCACTCCTGACAACAGCACTTTTCCTTTATAGCACTTGCTACAATTACAACTTTACATGAGGGCGTGTAATTGATGATGTAATGCCTATCAATGGCGGTAGTGCCTAATTTTGCTTGCTATTGTATACCAGCGTCTTGTACAATGCTAGCACTTAACCTTCAATAGTCATTCTATGCGTGTTTTTGAAAAAAGTGAATGAATGAATCATTTTGAATGAAGGGGAAATGTGGTACCACAAAAAAAAAAAAAAAAAGGTTCCAGAGTAAATTACATTTATCATATTTATAACTCTCAAGATAGAGGAAATACCTAGGAAATGGTCACCTTTTTGACTGAACCATAATATCTTTTTTTTTTAAGATTTATTATTTATGCATTCAAGAGTCGGGGTACAGGTCAGAGACATGGAGGGGGGGTGAGAGGATTTACCAGAGACAGAGTGGGGAACAGAACAGGCAGACTGAAATACACTGCTGAGGGGAGCAGCGGGTAAGACAGGAGAGGTCTGTCTCATCATGTGGGTTGCTCCCTGGCTGGCCAGGGATCAAACTTGTGTTGCAGAGGCTACAAATTGCTTAATAGTGCGGTGCTGAACCCCTTGACCCTCAGGGAGGCCTCTAACCATAATTTCTTTATTAAGAAAAATTATGACAAAATCTGGTAAGGTTATGAAAGGGTTCTATGGAGAAAAGTCCTGTAATTTATAAATGAGACAGTATGCTACAAGTTATCACTAAAACTCAGCAAAGAAACTATTAAGAACAGGCCTCCCCAGTGGTGCAGCAGGTTAAGTGTCGCGCTGTGAAGCTGTCCGCAGCCTCTGCAGCACAGGTTCGATTCCCGGACAGCCAGGGAAAAACCCACATGGCATGGCAGACCTCTCCTGCCTCTCCTGCTGCTACCTTCAGCAGTGTCTTCAATCTGTCTGCCTGTTCTGCTCCCCGCTCTGTGTCTGGTGAATTCTCTCAACCTCCTGCACATCTGGTCTGTACCCCAGTTCTTGTATAAATAAATAAATCTTTAAAAAAAAACTATTAAGAACAGTCTCATAAAGTTAGCAGAACAATATATTCTCATTAATCAGGTCAAAAGATGTAGGACTACTTAATCATTTAATTAAGAGTGCATGTTGAAGGCACCATCAACGGAAAAAAATCAATATGAAGGTGAGAAAATACATTTTTGGTACAGTAATTGACAAATGACTCATATCCAGAACTCAGAAATAACTCCTACAAATCAGTAGGAAAGTGAAATTGAAAGTGAATGCGATCCAAACAAGTAGTTCACACATACACCAAAATCTCCCCAACGTTGATAAATTTATTTTTCTTAATCTGGGTAGTGGTTACATGAAGATGTTCACTTGTCCATTTATTTGTATACTCACAATTCTACAGCTTTAATTAAGGTTACTTACAGTTTATTAAAATGTTTACATTAAAAAAATAAGATCGTGGACTATATATATGCACCAAGGATGCAATAAAGTAGTATTACTTTAGGTAGTTTCTACAGTTATGCTACAAGAAAAAATTTGGGGAAATCTTACAAAATCTCCTGTTCAAACCAGCTTTTCCACACCAATTTGATCATGATTTCTTAATAAAAACTATTTACATTTCTCAGAATTACTGTTCTCTGGAATATGTAAGGATTATATACTAATATACTCCAGAACATGCCAGACTTCTACAAGGACTAAAACGAGAGATTTCAATGTAAGTTAGCAGTCAGTTAAGCAAGCTCAAATACCAAAATTCAAAATATAATGGGGACAAAGCAGCTTACTGGTGTGAGTGCAAGTAGCTCAGTAGCGGAGAGTACTATGAAAACATAGCAAAAATTTCACTACATTAGAAAAATCTCTTTGGATCTTTAGGTGAGGCTAAAGGCTATGGCAGTTGATCAAGAGACAAAGACTTCATGGTCTAAAGTATGTTCACCAACAGGAAATAAACATTGAAGCGGCCCCCCCTCTCTGTGCCTAGCTTGTCTTTGATTCTCTAAATTAGAATACTAAACATGTACAGTAAATGAGGGCCTGAAAATAAGAGTCACAATATCCTAAGATAAACCATGGTCTGCAAAAAAAAGTCATAATGGCATTCATTCTTTTACTCATTAATTAATTAACAAGGAATCATGGAATGTCTAATATGCACCAGAAACTAGGTACATTTTTGATGAACAAAAAGGCTTGCTTTCTTATCTTCATAGAGTTTTGCAGCAATAATGAACATTAAAAAATAATTGCAAATATAAAGAAAGGTATGAAAGCTGTGGAACCTGAAGTAATTACTAATATCCCTTCTGTTGCCCACAAAAAGATTGTATAAATAATATAAAAGAAATTCAGATGTTTTAGAGAACATCACACTATATAATGTAATAGAAACTAAGTTAGTAGGACCTCAGCAATACATTTCTACATGATTAATGTGTATTCAATTATTTTTACAGCCAGGCTGCTCAGCACCAAAGGATTTGACTAATGCACATTTTTAACCTTTCATAAATCTTGTATCTAAAGTAAAAAAAGTTTGCATAAAATTGTGGAAAAAGTATGTAAGCATCTATGGATACCCATAATCTAAGATAACAATGCCTGTGTTAGCCTCTTCCACACCAGAAGTAGTACCCATGAGAGGGGCTTTGTTAACATGGTGACTTGGATTTATGCTACAATACAACCTCAAGCAAGGAGGCAAAGAAAATGGTCTTAACAGGTGAATGACAGGTTGGGGGAGTTATAAAACATAGATGAGAACACTCTCACTCCTGACACGCAAGAGTCAAACAGATTCCTAACAGCTCTCCTCTCTCTGCCTCATTGTTTTTCCTTTCCTTTTCTTATTGCATCTGTCTCTACAACTTTGTCCACCTCATGGAGTTACTCCCTCCTTGCTTCTGTTTTGCCTATAAACCAAATTTTCTAGCCAGATCACCTCTGAGATGTCAATCTGGTCCAAATATGAGGACAGTTTCCCAAGAACAAAACAAGGTGTCAGCTGCTTGAGGAAGCACTAGATGTGAGGCTCTTGTTTCAGAAGAGGACAGC